ACACCCCTGTACCTGGGGAGATCTCTCTCTCTCCCCCATACCCCTGTACCTGGGGAGGTCTCTCTCTCTCCCCCACACCCCTGCACCTGGGGAGATCTCTCTCTCTCCCCCACACCCCTGTACCTGGGGAGATCTCTCTCTCTCCCACACACCCCTGTACCTGGGGAGGTCCCTCTCTCCCCCACACCCCTGTACCTGGGGAGATCTCTCTCTCTCCCACACACCCCTGTACCTGGAGAGGTCCCTCTCTCCCCCACACCCCTGTACCTGGGGAGATCTCTCTCTCTCCCCCACACCCCTGTACCTGGGGAGGTCCCTCTCTCTCTCCCCCACACCCCTGTACCTGGGGAGGTCTCTCTAACCCTCTCTCTCACACTCTCATGTACTTGTCTCTCTCTGTAAGCTGGGACATGGGAGCTGTGGAGTTTCCAGATGATTCCAGAGGGTAAAATGTGGGAGAGGAGATGGGAAAGGGTTGGAATGGTTGTGTCTGGAGCTCGTGAACGTGAGGGTGAGGGCTCCAGCAGCTGATGAGCTGCAACATGGGGAGGGGGGTATATAGTGGGGGGAGTCGGGTTGAGGACAGGTTTGGTGAACTCTGAAATGAGGGACAAAATAATTGTGATATAATGGAGTTGGTGAACATGAGGCCATCCATTCTGGTAGGAACAATGGCAAAATGGACTATTATTTGAACGGTGAAAAACTGCAGCATGTTGCTGTGCAGAGGGACCTGGCTGTCCTTGTGCATGAATGACAAAGAAGTTGGTTTGCAGGTGCAGCAGGTCATTTAAGGAGGCAAATGGAATATTGTCCCTCATTGCCAGAGGGATGGAGTTTAAAAACAGGGAGGTCTATGCTGCAGCTGTATATGGAGCTGGTGAGGCCAGACCTGGAGTCACTGTGTACAGTTTTGGTCTCCTTACTTCAGAAAGGATGGACTGGCACTGGAGGGGGTGCAGAGGAGGTTCACCAGGTTGGTTCTGGAGTTGAGGGGGGGTTGGTTTATGAGGAGAGATTGAGTAGACTGGGACTATACTCATTGGAATTCAGAAGAATGAGGGGGGATCTTACAGAAACATATAAAATTATGAAGGGAATACATAAGATAGAAACAGGGGGGTTGTTCCCACTGGTGGATGAAACTAGAACGAGGGGGCATAGCCTCAAAATAAGGTTGGAGCAGATTTCAGACTGAGTTGAGGAGGAACATCTTCACCCAAAGGGTTTGTGAATCTGTGGTAATTCCAGGCCCAGAGGGGCTATTTGTTTGAATGTTTTCAAGGCGAAGACAGATTTTGGAACAGCGAAGGAGTTAAGGGCGATGGTGAGCGGGTGGGGAAGCGGAGCTGAGTCCACGAAAGGATCAGCCACGAGCTGATGGAACGGCAGAGCAGGTCGGAGGGGCCGGGTGGCCCGCTCCTGATCCTGGCTCTCACAAGGACGTGAGGGAGCGTCTGCACAGACACTGGCACCGACTGTTACACAGTGGACTCTCAGAGGTCAGTGAGCCGTCCCACTCGCAGCACACGTTGTCCTTACCCTGTCTGGCCACAATAATACTCGCCATGCAGTCAGGAACACTAGTCCCAGCAGCTAGAAACGTAATTCCCATAATCACATCCGGAATTTCCAACGAATATCCAATTATGGTCACCTGGGCAACACAACAAAACAGGTCAAACATCACACACTCCCTCTACACTGTCCCCCCCCATCAAACACTCCCAGGGACAGGGACAGCACGGGGTTAGATACAGAGTAAAGCTCCCTCTACACTGTCCCCCCCATCAAACACTCCCAGGGACAGGGACAGCACGGGGCTAGATACAGAGTAAAGCTCCCTCTACACTGTCCCCCCCATCAAACACTCCCAGGGACAGGGACAGCACGGGGTTAGATACAGAGTAAAGCTCCCTCTACACTGTCCCCCGCATCAAACACTCCCAGGGACAG